AATTCTCATTTAAAATTCGCGCGCTGTATATTTTTCGATATTTTAAGTTTATGTAGTTTGGCAGCACTGTCCTTAATTACTATGCCAAAAATGAGCTCGATCTGTCAGACAGTTCGTTTACGGCAGCTGTTGAAACCAGTTCACCTCAGTAGTGCGTTGCGAAATGTCTTCGACGGTCGTACGACCGTCCTGGAAGGCTTTGTACCACTCATAAACTTGAGTTTTCGATAAAACTGATTCCCCATAAGCCTTTTGTAGCATTCGCAACGATTCTGCACACGAAATTTCGTTCGAAACACAAAATTTGATGCAAACTCTTTGTTCAATATTTTTTTCCATTGTTTTTTTCGCAACGCCCTACTGAGGTGAACTGGTTTCAACAGCTGCCGTAAACGAACTGTCTGACAGATCGCGCTCATTTTTGGCATAGTAATTAAGGACAGTGCTGCCAAACTACATAAACTAAAATATCGAAAAATATACAGCGCGCGAATTTTAAATGAGAATTTCCGAAAACTTTTCGGTCTTAATGTATATAAACATATAAACGTTTTTAAAATCTACAAAATTTTTTGTAGAACATTTTTAATAATTCTGTATACTTTTCGATTACTTATGTTTTAATATATTTTAGTTAGAATTTTTTTTATTTATAGTAAACAGTCGTAATAGATTAAATCTTTTTAACCTATTAACCTTACCTATTGCGTCTGTTTTAAAAATGTGATAATAATGTTAAAAAAATGTATCACATCTTGTGTAAAAAATAAATTTACACGTCTTATGTAATCTTCAGTTATACATCTAGATTAACCTTTTAGTTATCAAAACTAATACGTTTAGCTTTGAATTTCTAATTTTACTTAGAATTAAACAAAAGTAAAAAATGAAAATATCTGGTCACTCAATCATGAGATATCTTCAAAACATTAAATGTTGAGTTCATTCAAAATTCAATAAAATATACTTCGTAAGACTAAATATTTGAATATTTATTCTATTTTATTATGAATCTGCTAAGCCATTTCATGCAATTTTTAGATAAACTGCTTAGTGTACAAAACCCTTACTATTTTTATTTAGAATATAAAAAAAAATTAAAATATCTGGTCACCTTTAATATGAATTTCTTCTGCAAATTATGTTGCGTGCATTCAAAATTCATAAAATTTACTTTGATCGATAATAGTTTTGAAAACATATTTTAATATCGAATTTTTATTAACTAATATTTAAATAATCATTTATATTATATGAAATTATTTATTATTAATGACTTACCATTGGTGCTATAAGAACAGCCACGATTCCATATTGAAAAACCAACAACAACAGTGAGATGTAGTGAAAATTGTGGAAAGACATAACGTAAAACAAAGCACTTTACTTCACATTAGGGGTATTCACTCTCTCTTGTAAACTCATTGCAGGGAGCACGAAATGCAAGAATGCTATGCAAAAACTGCAAGACTGCGAGAACACCTCTGTTGCAGAATTGTATCATCAAAATGAATCAGCTGTTTTTGCAGTCGATTCACATTGAGCAAAGAAAAATAATAGTATAACAATGCCGCGAACAAGTGAAATACAAAAATGTATAGATTTTTTAATTGAAAATAGTGCTTTTAATATTCTGATTGAAGGTATTAACATGTTGTTAATGTAGTTTTCACTACTATATAGTTTCTATTTGTTAGATGATGCAAATTACTGGGAAGTGATGGAGCAATTAAATGAAGACCTTTTGTTTACTTTAGTAAACCATCACAGAAATCACCAACCCGTACCAAAATCTATTCAATGGAGATCTACCATTCTTCAAGAATTTGATGAAGGCCGTTTTTGTCAGATGCTTAGAGTAAATTGGAACGTATTTTCCTTAATAGTCTCACTAATAAACTATTAAGGATTGCTATTGTTTTATATCGTTTGGGTTCATCAGGCGAAAATGCGGCTATTCGTAAAGTCGCTACACTATTTGTTGTTGGAGATATATGTAATAATAATATAATATAAAAATAATTAGTATAATAAAAATATAACTAATTCTTAATTTATTATTGTTATTTGTTATATTTTTTATCGAGGGGGGTAGTGGGGTTTTGCACAGCAGAACGCACGACTTTCGGTGCAGAGCTGGATGATGTGTTGTCTGCAGACGATTCAATAAAAAAAACTTCGTTGCCTAGCGCAGAACTAGTTGGTGGCTATGGCAATGTTTCCGTACAAAATTAGACATGCGTCCCAACACTTCATTCAATAGTTCAAAATGTGAACAAATTTTCGTAAGTTTCGCTGAAATTGATAAATAGATAAATTAATTCACAAATGTATATGTATATAATATTATATTTGTGAAAACTTAATTAATGGTCACATCGATTTAAATTATTGAACGAAACGCATGTATATAGCATAGCCATAGATTAACATATCTCGAAATTTTACTAACAGTCAATTCAAATTTAAAAATGAGAAGCAACAAATGAAAAACAGCTGATTTCCGCCATTTCTGGTTTGTTGCAAGCAAATATACATAGGTTTCAGCATTGGAAGATTGCACGCAATTGCATGAAATTTTGTGCGTGTATTTTGTTGTTGTTATTTGCATTCTCGTACAATCTGTGCATTTCGTGCACCTTGCAATGAGTTTGCAAGAGAGAGTGAATACCCCTATTATTTCAATTTTTTTTATTTAAAATTAAAAACACCACTTTTTTGCCCGAATTAAAAACAATTTAACACAAATAGTTTATAAAGAATATAAAACATAAATTGCGTATGTAGAAATTTTTGTTAAGACTTCCTATTCTTGTTGACTGCTGCGTACGGAACTATTTCAAACAATGACTCATTTAATACAAGTAGCATCAATAACGGCTTTAAGCGATAAGCATTTGCCAAAGGTAATCTTGAACTTGCATTAAGCATTAGGGGTTAGGGTTGCATTGCTCTCTAAATCAAAATGCATACAATTTTTTTTAGAATTAGTAATAAGCTGTAATTATTAAATAAATTAACATTAACAAAAAAATATTATTTAAGCCAATTTAAATTGTTTTAATTGAACGACTTTTCAAATTATTTAGAATATTCTTTTAGATTTAAATACATAAATTAAAATATAAATATAACTTGTTTTAATTGAACAAATTTTTAAATTATTTAGAATATTCTTTTAGATTTAAATTTATTTATTTCAAATTACCAATAATAGTAGTACTATTAGCTTTATTTTATTTCATTTTAATATGTTGCATTCCATAGAAATTTATAACAATTATATTATATATATAAAGTTTACAGCTGTGGCATTTTCGCCGTCTACCGGAAATTACCAATATTTGCACTAACTAAAATAGTTTTATATAAAAATAAAATATATTGTGTCTAAATAATTGAATCAGAAAATTAACTTGTTTTTATTACAAAATGGACTCACTTGTATTATTATTATTGTTATGGGATGTAGCACTGCGATCGATCTATTTGGCCCCGCCCCCTTCTTCTACGCCCTGCTGTGTTAATAAGAAGAAGTATAGACCCTACTTTACAGAGTTTTATTGCCTCTTCCGTAAGAATAAACATTCCCAGGAGCCTATTCCGTATGTGTGTTAGCGCAGGGCATTCTAAAAGTATATGTGACTCACTTGTAATATTGCTACTATTTAATATAATTATAAAAAAAATATCAAGAAAATTTTTCAAAGAATTGAAATCAAATATTAAAAATCTCTTTAATACGATATCCAGAACAATCGCAAATGCAGTTTTCGTTCTTTAAACTTTTAACATAATTTTTAATATAATTTTTAATTACTCTTATTATTCATTTAAATATTTTAACCGCTAAGATTTAATCAAATTTTAACAGTATTCTATAAAAATTTTATTTAATATAGCATATTCAAGACTTGATATTTATTTATATATGTAAAAATAAAATTTATTTATCTATTATTATTAACATATAACCCGTGACGAGTTTTGCAATATATCAAATTTTAAGTACACATTAAATACTTATGGATTTATTGAATTATAATTACAAGACAAATTCAAATAAAAATCGGTCTTAACAATAGTGCTTTCCTTACTTAACAATTTGCTATTTTGTTTCGCTTTATTCCGAAATGTTCGTATAATCTAATTTAGTCCATAGAGCTGTTTTTTAATGTTTAAAGTGTTTTTGGGTTACAATATTTAATGTTGCTATGTTGTATCTCAATTAGCGCATTTCAAATATATATTGATTCCAAAATGACGCTTCTTTAGTCAAAACTTTATGTTTTTATTATGCTCTATAAAAATATGATTAAAGTCTACGGAGCTACTTATTATTCTATAATAATAATAAATATATTGTGTCTAAATTTAGTTCAACATTTATTTTATTCTAAAATACTTTTTCAATTATGTATCATAGAATATTCAATCAAATATTTTTGTATACATATTCTTTTCAACAAATGAAAGAAAGTTTAAATAGATCTCGAGCTAAAAGGACAAGTAAATAATCTAAAACAATGAGTACCTTGAATGATGAATCTAATAAAGAATATGTTGTATCAATGTTTCCTAAGGATTTTTTCCAAAGGACAGCTCGAGATCAAAACGAGGATACGGTAAAAACTCATGGTAAACAAAATCCCGAAAAAAATTCAATAAAAAACAAGCGCGCTGCATTAAAGAGCTTCACAAATAACTCAGGAATGATGGCCTTAACCAGTATAATAAATCTTGAAAAGATTGCTAAACAGGAAATCATGTTAAAAAAAAGTGAACGAATATTAAAAGATATGGCGCAGACGCATGATAAACAAAAGACTGCGAAAAGCTCAATAAAAACTGAAAAAATCGAAAATAAAGTAAAAATGACCATGCCCAAGACATTGTATCTAGAAAAGCGTACTCGGGAACAAATCACGGTAAAAAAGAGCGACAATCGAACTGGTCAGCATGAACAAATATTAAAAAACGTCGCGAATGTTAACAGTGACTTTTCAAATCTCTCTAAGGTTACAACAAAATCGAATAAAAATAACTTATTAATGAATGAGATAAATAAAATTATGGTACCAGCACACTTAAACGTTAAAAAAAATTACTTTACTGAACCATTTGCTATAATTGAGCCTACCATGCCAATGTCGATTGATTTACTAAGTAAACCAACTCCTCCCCGTATTTCTAATATATTTAATAAAACTGAACAGAGAGTGCACATGTCTACAGCTGAATATATGCCAAGAGCGGAGTGCGTACACTTTTCACAGAGCTGTGATGCTACCAAAACATCTTCAGAGTTACAAATAAATGATAAAAGCGAAGTGGTCTGTGATAATATAACAATCGATTTTGATAAATTAAATTGGGATGATCCTTATGCAGTATCTCATTACGCAAAGGATATTTTCGATTACCTGAAAGAACGGGAAAAAAAATTCCCTATTACAGATTATATGGTAAAACAAATAAATCTATCTAAATCGCTCCGCTCTCGACTAATTGACTGGATGGTTAAAGTGCAAGAGGGATTTGATTTAAACGATGAAACGCTCTATTTAGCTATTAAGATAGTTGATCTCTATTTGTGTCGTGTTATAATTAATAAAGATCAGATAATACTGTTAGGTGCCATTGCACTTTTTATT